GGACTTCCCTAATTCTAGTAACCAATCAGGGGGGATAAGAGCGTCAGGTGCAGTTATGGACAATAACTAAACATATTAAACATACAGAAGCGTGGAGACTAAGATTAAGTTGCGGATGGGAGAATACAATTTCTTTTAATTTCCTGAGCAAAGTGGGGCAATTAAATCTAGTGTGTGTGTATGTGGGTGCGTGCGTGCGCGCGTGCGCGCGTGTAAACGGTAGTAATCACGAAAACCATCCTGTCTCCTTCGGGTGTGAGATTTCGTGACCGTTCCCATGGACTGTCCTATGTTCTAGTGGCATTATGAGAAATCTTCCTTCCTCGTACATACACTTCTTGGCGAAAACTGGCTGCCTCTCGTTTCGACACGGTCGACAGACTGATCTCCCAGACGAAACTGTGCAGCTTTCTTTTCACAACTGTCTTTTCTGTGAACGACTGTTCTTTCTCTAATGTGTTGTTATTCTGAATGTACAAGGAAGAAGGGCTATCCTCCGAATAACGGTCCTGAATAATCGAGCCGGAAAATATACCCTAACAGGGCCTCAGTCACGTGTCAATTGCGCACTTCCGTGGACTATAACGCCAGCGCCGAATTCCAAACTTCCGGCGACTTCCACGCCGCTCACACGGGAAGTGCGCAATTTAAGACGACGGAAGTGCGCAATTGACACGTGACTGGGGCCCTGTTAGTGTATATTTTCCGGCTCGATAATTTAGGACAGTTATTCGAAAGATAGCTGGAAGAAGTACTGCAGGGGGAGGCGCCGAAGGTGCGACGCTTCATGAATTCGAATTGTTTTGAGTTTTTTGTATTTTTACGCTCGTTAGAGAGGGCTGTCGTCGGTGGTGGGTTTGCTTAAAACGTACAAAATTCACGGAACCGTCAGTTTCCCTTCCAGATGGGGGAAATTTCTTCACAAGCTCTTCATTCATCTTTTTTCTGACCATGATAACGGCCCCTTCGCTTGCGAGCAATCTTCTCTCTCCATAAAGGCAAGTACTTTAAGTGTAAAGTCTTAAATCCCCGAGGGTACAGTAGCAGGTATACTTCGTTCATATGTGTAGTAGGGCGTACTTTTTGAAGTCTCTCCATACAACTCGCCCAAAGAAGTCTCTTACCAGGCCCACGCTCGGTTTTTCCAGTCTCTAGCATAGATACAGCATTATCTCGCTCCTTGACAACTTTAAGAATATTCTCCATACTTTCCTCAACCTTGGTTATTCTATCAGGTTGGGAAACAATTTACTCTGCTCCATAGCCGACAACGGTCGGTTGTTCTGCGATGTGCATCATCTGCTTGTATCTTCAACACAAAACTTGAATGTGAGGGGTTTCCAACAAATTCCACGACCAGAGGGTGGCATCAAGTAATCTTGAACTATAATTTTTAACACGGGCCCATCTTCCGTGAGATAACATTGACAATTCTTAACGCTTGTGTGTGGTAGAGAAGACAGTCAAAGTTCTGTTAATTCTATTGAGTAGTATATAGGATTCAGGATGGAATTCACAAAACTTCATACGTGCACTGCCTGATGTTGGAGGAGGCCACAACTGAACAGGATATCCTGGAAAGATAAGCGGTGTAGGCCAGTACCTGCAGTCAACCCTAACACATTGTACCAGTACCCTCGGTCCAAAGTGCCACAGTTTGGCAGTGATTATTATGGCTGTTGATATGGAATAATCAGGAGTCTATTTGGAGTAGTATGTTCTTTGCTCCCATAACTGGTTTGATTGATCTTGCTGGATGATTTTCTTAAAGATGTCTGCAATTTACATGTGACTGAGGCCCTGTTAGGGTATATTTTCGGCCTCGATAATTTGGGACCGTTATTCTTAGGATAGACTTATCAGCCAGTCTATCTTTCTGTTCTCTCCCAACACACCGGCATACCATAAAGAAAATATTAAGAGTGTTAAATACCTCGTACCTCTGACGCGATGCTTGTCACTCTTGATGTAGCATACCGGTCTCCACTTTTCTCAACATGCTTTGTGTATCAGTTACAATTTCGACATGTGTGTATATCTGATTCTCAAGCCTGCGGAAGGCTTCAGTGTCTACCTTCGTTCTCAAACTAAATGTTGTGGTGTCAGACTTTGTTGCACTAAGCGACGCCCATTAGCTTTTGCCAAGAACCCTAATAAATGTCGTCTGCCTTTCAACGCAAAGTCGTCTGTATAGATAATCACCTCAGCCGAGTGGGAATTGTCATAAATTTAAAATAATTTTTTTAACTTCTGATTCTGCAACGCCTTATGACTAGTCCCTATACTCACGGCCCAATGTGATTAGAACCTAAGACAAGTCTGATTCTAGCTCGAACGCGTTGAACAACTTCTCGCCCAAATTAATCAAGTCTACCCACATGTCTAGATGTGTCTTCAGCTTGCGCCATTCAAGACCTTTATCTTTTCCGTCTGTGACCCTTAGCTCAGTCCAAAGCTTTATGAAGGGGTTGTTTCTTGTCTGCGGCTACTCTGAAATATAGCTTTGCTTGCAGGACTGTAAGCCTATCTGTAATAGTCGACAGTGAAAGTATATAAGCTTCTGAGGTCCATGTACCTAGGCAGTGGGCGACTTTACGAGAATGCAGGACAGCTGCTGTCCAGTTCACCCGCCAAGGACAGACCCCCTTGGCAAAAATATCATATACTAACTAATGTAGGCGTTCTCAATGAAGGCCAAGAATCACCACCGCTGTCTCTTGCCTATTCTGGAACCCGTCATAAACATTATAGGTAAATGTCGCATTTGACCAGCGTGCTGTTTAGCAGTAATACTCTTCTCCAGTACCTTGCCAAAAGTATATTGAAGCGTGATAAATCTAAAAACGATGTCTGGAAGAATCTTTGCCTGGTTTTTTAAGAGGTATTAGATAGCTGTCCTAAGTGTGTAATAAAAGTTGATGTTGTTATTTTAGGACAAGTACAGAAATTTAAGTATCTGGGCACATGGATAACATCAGATGGAAGATGCATAACTGAGATAAGAAACAGAATAGGACAGGCAAAAACTGCATTTTATAAAATGAAAAAAATCTTGTGCAATATATCCTTGTCATTGAGAGTTGGAAAAAGAATTCTTGCTTGCTACATACATCCAGTTTTAACATATAGCTGTGAATCCTGGACAATAGGTAGGCAGGCCAAACAATTCCTGGAGGCCTCGGAGATGTAGTTTTACAGAAGAATGCTTAGAATACCTTGGACAGCCAAAAAGAGCAACCAAGAGGTTTTGAAAGAGGCGGGAGCCCAAAGAAAACTTATCACAGACATCAGAAGGAGACAGTCATCATTTTTCGGCCATGTTATGAGAAGAGGGAAAATAGAACATGTTGTGACCACTGGAAAGATATGTGGAAGGAGAGATAGAGGTAGACAACGAGAGAAGATGCTTGACAGTCTTGTTGCATGGCATGGAGGTGTGTCGGCACACGAAGTGATACATGCTGCAGGAGATCGCAGATTATGGAGAGGCATGATCGCCCACGCCAGTCGGCAAGGCACCTGATGATGATGATAGATAGCTGAGACCCAATCCCGGGCACGGACGCTGTTCTGATTAAAGCCATCTCCTCAATTCTTCATCACCCATGCTCTTCATGTGGGCATACCTAACTCATACAAGATCAAGATCTGGAGGGCTCGTGCATACCTCAAAATAAGCTCAGATCTGAAGCCCCCTTTACATCACATGCTCTTCAAGAAAAAGGGCAATAAGCTTAAAAGGGGCAAATCATGGCTGGATAGGGCGGAGGATAACATCATGCAGGTTTGCAGCCTTACAGACATCCATCCAGGTGAGGAGTGGATACCAGAGTCAAAAGCGCCCAAACTCACAATCTCCTGTGTCGTGACGCTCGATAGGAGCTGTCGGGAGCAGAATCCAGCTGCTGTCAATACCAAGGTATGCGCGCTCATCAGTGACAAGTCAGCTGAGACAGATGTGGTGATCTTCACAGACGGGTCCGTTATACGAGAACATAAGAGTGCATGAGCATTTACAGCTCGCTCTTTAGGCAGAACAGTTCAGGAAGCCAGCGGTGCCTTCTCCATGACCACCAGCAGCGATGGAGGTGATGGCGGCGGGACACAGGCTTTCATGTGGCTGGGATCACAGGTCTATTCCCGTGTGTGTGTGCTGGGTGATTCTTTGAGTATGATCCGGCGGGTCGAGGCAGGCTGGTTACGCAGACAGTGGCTTGAGTCATTGCAAAATTCTCCTGTGTGTGCAGTTACTTTCATATTCGTCCAAGGGCACGCAGGCGTTGTTGGTAATGAGAGAGCTGATAGACTGGCAGGTGCTGCATTCATTGAAGATGGCAGGCCCATGGATCACGCAGACATTGTCATTGCCCTTAGAGAGATAGGACGCTCTGAGGATTTTGGAAGCACCGTGTCCACATCAATTCTAAGAATACGTGAATTGGGAGTAAAGATCGGCACAGCCAAGCATGAGAAAGCACACTGGAGGCACACGAAGTCTTGTTAACCTACATAGGACTGGTACTATTAACCGCACGACGCTGATGAATATGTTGAGGGGGGAATCTGAGCGCCTATGGATGTGTCCGTAGTCTGTGAAGATAATCCAACTCATAATCACACCCAACTCATGTGGCCTTTCTCTTGTATATTACACATATAAACTTTAGTTTCAGGGTGATTTTCCAATGCCATTTTTGAACGACAGTCACTTATTACTAAAAAAAAAAAAAAAACGTCCTACTGTGGATGCAATGTAAGGAGCTTCGGAGCTGTACTCTGTCGGTTCTCCTATACTTTAAGTCCGTTTACATTGCTTGTTTTGTATTCACGATTTGCGTGATAGATTAACTACGCATGTGTAGTAAAAGAGGAAGTCAGGACTATCAACAACCGGTCGTAGGGCCGACACGATGTCAACTATGATTCGCTGCAACAATCGCTAGAGATTTACCGCTTTCAGACTGGGCGTTGTTGCGGTTGCATTACTATATTACTACAGAATGAATGCTAAAGATCTGTTTGATAAGCTTCGGCGTTTTGATGCTTATCCAAAGACACTTGAAGATTTTAGAATCAAAACTTTTGGAGGGGCAGCAGGTACTGACTCAACTTGCAAAATCATTTTAACTATTTTTTATTTGCTTTTGTAAAAATAAAATTAGTCCTGTGAAATGAAATGAGACGCCTTAGAAAAGCCGCCAGCTTAACCATCCGAGACAAAGTTAGAAATTATATTATCAGACAGACGGTAGGAACAAAACCATACAGTACAGTAACAGACAGGTTTTTATGTATGAACAAAGTCATGCAACAAAGTCATTGAGAAACAGAAGATCAAATGGTTTGGTCATTTAGTAAAAATGCAGCCAGAACAGCTACCACTACTACCAGTGCAGGCGCTACACATGTAATGTTCTGAGGTGAAACCAAGAGACAGTCTTAGGAGAATATAGATTGATGACATCAAAGAGCTGAATGATAGTAATAGTAGCCATTGCTGCCCATCTAGCAATGATTGCAAATGTTCCTCCCCCCCCCCCCCCACAATGCTTAACTCTTTGAGTCCCATGGAACACATCATATGTTCATAGTTTACTGCCTAGAAGCCCAATGAACGCATGATGCGCCGATTTTACGTCTCTTTTGACTGCTCCTTCGGCTTGTGATGCTAAACCCTCTGGGACTCAAATAGTTAACGGTAGAAGTGGAAATGATGATGTCCATTTGCGGTAATAATAATAATAATTATTATTATTAGTTACTGACTGAAGAGTTGACTAAATGGACATATCTTATAAGAATAGCATAAAAATTGTGTAATTTCTTGTCTTAATTCTTTGAGTCCTAAGGGGTTTAGCATCTCAGGCCCAGGGGGTAGTAAATAAAGTCATAAAATCGGTGATCCTGCGTTAATTGGGCTTCTAGGTAGGAAGCCATGAACGTATGAAGCGTTTCTCGGGACTCAAAGAGTTAACTTACTCAGCGTGGCCAAATATCTGATTGTTTAATTTGTTTTTATGAAAAAAATTGAAGATATTAAAATTTAAATAGTTACAAGAAGCAAATAATAGCAGAAAAGGGCTTGCAAAAAAAAAGCAAAGCTGGATGATGTGAAGACTCAGGGAACTAATAATGTTGTAATAATTATTGATTATTAACAGTATAATATTAATACAATTTAAGACTATCCTCCGAATAAAGGTCCCAAATTAAGAAGGCAGAAAATATTCCCTTTCAGGGCCTCAGTGATATGTAAATTGCGGACCTCTTCCGGCGACTAACAGCATACCGCTGAGAGTATCCTTTCGCGCCGCTATGCACGGCGCGGAGTGGGGCTAAACTAGATGACTGGGACTCACAAGAAAATAAAATGAAGGAAGATACATGAGATGCAGTAATTACTGATCGTGAGTCCCAGCCATCTAGTTTAGCAGCGCGAGAAATACTCTCGGCAGTGACTTCAACTTAGCCGAAGGTTTTTCGAGGTATGCTGTGAAGTCGCCGGAAGAGGTCCGCAATTTTCATGTGACTGAGGCCCTGTTAGGGTATATTTTAGGCCTCGATAATTTGGGACCGTTATTCAGAGGATAGCCCAATTTAATAATAATATATCTTAATCTTTGTCTGTTGAGGGAATAAAGTTTTTTTACCTGCTGTTATAACTATCACAATACTGAACTAGTCTTTATGTCAGGACAAAAGAATGTTTATTATTATGGAAATAAATTTGACTTGAAGCAGCTGTATAGATGTATACAAACTAAAAATTTGTCAGAGACAAACTACGACATTTGCGGGACATCAGTAGCCTCTCTTGGCAGTGGTGAGACGTCGCAAGCTAGCTTGGTTTAGGCACATGGTGAGACATGATTTGATTGCAAAGACTGCACTTAAGGAACATTGGGGGATAGTCAAAGAAGAGTAAGGCAAAGAAGAACCTGCAATGACAACATCAAGAAATGGACAGGACTAAGTTATACACTTATCCATCAAGCAGAAGACAGAGAAAGATGGTAGGTTTTATGTGCTAGTGCTTCCATCAATACACCTCCACAATTTTAACGGGTAAAATGTTATGTTACATTAAAGATGTAGCATAGTCATCATCATCATGTAGCAGGTCCTTTGCAGAATGTGGCTCTCATCACAGTCCGCTTAAAAGAAACACGGTTTCAGGCCAGCTTCCCCGCCTTATGTACTTTCGTACTCAAAGAGCCACTTATATCCTGTGCCCATCTTTGTGTCGGTTGGCCCCTGCCCCTCCTTCCTGGTACCATGCCTTCTGCTTTAATTTTTTCCAATCCATCATGGCGCTTGATATGACCACAATATTTCAGCTTCCGGTACAGGATGCTGTTTATTAGCCAATCTTCATTGATGTTCAGATCTTTCAAGATGTCAGTATCTCTCCTCTTCTTTGTGCAAGATATTCTGAGAATGGCAACCCTAGGAGGACGCTATGTGCTATTTGTTTGTGGTGACCATAAGGGAGACAATCTATTGTTTGTGTTCGTTCACATAATGATGTTCTGTAAAATTTAATACTGCTTAAGGTTATGGTAAAGGTTTAGATTGGGGTTAGTCCTAACCCTAGCCCTAATTTTAAACAATACTAAATATGAAAGAGTGTTATTATTATGTGAACTTATACAAAGAATGGATTACGTCCCCTTTGGTCACTAGTTAAAGTATTACGGAAAGATATACAAACGAACAAAAAGTAGATTGGCGAGCTTCACAATATAACAAGCACAAACTTAAAGTGAACGTTGCGGCTTCAAAGCCGACATCAGCACATACATAAATCAAACAAAACCACACGAATACAAACCTGTACATGAATTACTACTTGAAGTGAATACTGTGTAGAAAATGAAACATTAAAGAAGCCTGCTGTATTGGAATGAGAGTACATGGATAGTAGACATAGTCAAGACATATGTCATCAGACAATAGTCCCAGACTGAACTTCCAACTTGGACATCTGTGGTGTAGACCCTAGATGCTAGTCTAAGTCTAGATACAATTACATACCAATGTTCAGTAAAGTTAAACTAGTAAGTAAAAGTAAAGTTCCCCTTTCACGCCTTTCGGCGCATCGGGCATATGGGCAGAACGTCCCATATTTTTACAGACCGTCAGCACTCTGTGGGTAAATGTAGTCAGCATTACGCCGGCTGCAAAATTAAATATTTATTATTAATTAATAATTTAACAACATCTAGTGTTGTATTTGTTATCCGTTCAACTCCATCATGAAGTTAGATATTAAATATTGATTAGTTTTTGTTGTTCTTTTGATTCCCTTTTATATTTTTTAAGTGAAGGACCCTTTTCGTGCCAGCTGTGCATAGTGCCTAATATGCTAATAGACTCATATTTGTATAGTCCTTTGTGCACAAGATAAGTGATGCATTCAGCATCATGCCAGCCACAACTTTACACACATTGACACCTTTGCTGATTCTGCGAAGTTCAAGTACTGTTGAGACTTTGCAGTTGTGGAAAGACTAGGTTATCGATGAAGATGTATGTATGAGTTGGAGGTGGTCCTTCCCCAACCAAACCGTGTCAATTTTCACGTGTCTGAATGTTGCAAATTTTCAAATGCATAAAAAATTCTTCAAATTAAAGTTATATTTATTATGTTTCCTTGTAATATGTTACAGTTTCAGCTCTAGATTTAAAATGAAGTAAGTCATAAATTTAACAGGGTTGTCATTATCATTTTCTGGGCGAAAACTTTTGAATCACTCTATCTAATTTCTGTACAAAACTGAATGAATCATAAAAATAAAAGATTTGTCATTTCTTTGATTGTAAATTAAGTCATAAATATTAATACAAGTACAGTAAAGTAAGGAACATTTTTCCACGCTTTGAGATGTATTAGGCGTATATGGTAGGGCTAAATCTATATTTTAAAGACCATCACATTGACCATCTTTACTTCCCAGGACTTTTCTGGTACCCATTTTAGGCTGGGTTGATCTGCAAGCCAAGTTAATTTTTTTAAACAGTCTGGTCCTGTCAGGACCTGGGCCCATGACTTTCAGACCCTCAGAAGAGTGTCTAGCCACTACACCACATCAGCTGCCCATATAGATTACAGTTTAATTATGATCATATGATTTGAATCGGTTAGATCTGGCATCTTAATAGTTTTAGTTGGAATGACTGCTCTAGAATGAAAACACATACTTACTTTGAAGTAACACATGATCAGCAAATTATCTTAAAGAAATACAATAATTTTTTTGACAGACAATTTTGATTTTTTCAAAGGAATCATCCCAGATGAAAAGGAGAACTATGAAGCTTCTTAAGATAACACAGATCGAGAAAAACCTTTTATCGGTTTACAAAACACAGACAATCATTATATATATATTTTTAAAAAGACCACATAGTAACTTAGCTTTTTTTGGTGATCAAAAACATTCATACACTTTGAACTCAAATAAAGCTGCTAGCCTGTGTCTTCACTTAGTCACGGATAAACAATGAATGTGAAGTGACCCACAGAGCTAGGACAGACAGGAGGTCAGAAAATCAAGAGGTAAACTGTCCAGGGACGTAACTGGAACATTTTTGAGGTGAAACTGTTGAATATTTAGATCATGCAGAGTTCTGTTTGAAGCTACATCAAAGAAATAATCTTTGTTGATAAGTTATTTCTTTTTTTTTTCAAAAATACTGGCAATACATTGAATATTTTCTTTTCTCATCATGAGAAAGAAGATAAAGGATGTCAATGACTGTGTTAGTAGGGTCGTAACTCGTACAGCCTTCTCTGTACAATTTCGAGCTACAAGTATTTTGATCTGGAAGGCAGATGATTGCGCTTGGATGGTTTGTTTGTAGTTCATTAATGCAAACTTCAGCTTTTAGTTGTAATTTATGATTGTATGTTTTGTTCTCTCTTCCTCTGCCCTAACAGTTACCGTGGTCAGCAGTGTTCTCATGTTCATTCTGTTTGTCTCTGAGCTGAACTATTACTTGACTCTAGAAGTTCACCCGGAGCTGTTTGTAGATACATCCCGGGGACAGAAGCTGCGCATCAACATTGATATTGTTTTCCCCAAGATGGCCTGTGATTGTGAGTATTTGTATATCTGTATTTATTATTTTAATATACTTTTCCGCATCATCAAGTATTCCAATAAAATGTAGCAAATAAATGTGAACTAGTGTTTTACACAGTAAAACATTCAGTTACATTTGAGTGTGGGAGATTTATGTGTTTTAGTTAAAAGGATTCGTTTATGTTATTCATTTAATTTAGTTATGCCTCTACAGCAGTGGTTCTCAACCTTCCTAATGCCTTGACCCTTTAATGCAGTTCCTCCTGTTGTGATGACCCCAGCTATAAATATTTTTCGCTGCTACTTCAAAACTTCAGTGAATATGTGTTTTCTGATGGTCTTTGGAGACTCCTGTGAAAGGGTCATTCAAGCTCCAAAAGGGTTGCCACCCACAGGTTGAGAACTGCTGCTCTATGGTATGCACCTGATGAGTTGTATTGAATGAAATATGGATGGCAATTCATTAAGCAATATGTTGTTTGTGTCTTCTTTGTTGAAAATTATTATGAACCATACAGACTGGCTGTAAGGATTATGTCTCCTCATATTGAAACTCATTTATGATAACATAAATTCATCTGACATCTTTGCCATGCAAGTATACTGAACTTTTTCTCTGCTATCCATTAATGCTTTTTAAACTAATGCCAGTTGTTAACAATACATTGAATACTTTCTTTTTTCATCATGAGAAAGAACTTGAAAGATGTCGATGACAATGTTAAGTTCTTGTAGAATAGTGCAACTGCATATTTTTTCTATCATAGACAACTGTGGTATGTATGCATCCTTGTTGAATGTTTGCAAGTTTATTGTTAGATGAAATACTGTGCTGGAAATGAGCTGTTCAGTCCATCCCATATTATATTAGCCTGGTGTATGTTCATTTTAAACAGTTTGCATCCTGGCTTCTGTTATGTCATTTTTTTCATCAAGTGCCTTGTTGACTGGTGTGATTGATCTTGCTCATCTTGTGTCATGTATCAGTTCCTTGCCATGACAAAGTACTGACAAGAATCATCTTTCATTATCTTCCTCTGTTTCTCTTTCCATTTGTCAACACATGTTCCAGTTTCTCTCTCCTCACAATGCGGATACAATGTTACATTCATGTATGTCTGTATTTCACAGTCCTTTCCCTTGATGCCATGGATGTAAGTGGAGACTCTCAGATTGATATCCATACAAATTTATTTAAGCAGAGACTGGACTTGAATGGATTACCTATCAATGAAGCACCAGAACAGCACAGTAAGATCTCTTTATTCCATTTACACGAAGCAAATCTCCATACACTGATTATTTACTTGCATCCCACATTAATATTTTTAGAGGAGATTTTTTTACATGAACTTTTTTGTAATTTTCCCTGTCTCTGGGTAGTAAGACCGGACGCCGTATGTATTGTTGCGCATGTAAAAAAATCCCTTGGCAGTTGGAAATCAAAAAGAGTAGTCTAACGACGCTGCCCGGGCAAAATGTGGAGCTTAAAATCTACCCTAAGTAGTTCTGGATCCTCACTGGTGCAACTGAGTTCGTGCAGTGCGCTGAGATTCTTCAGACTCAGGCTTGAGTTAGAAGAACCGAGCACTTATGGGTTACACCTATGTGCCATAATGTTGATCCGTCGAATAAACATACAAACAAAGTATCTGCCTCTGCCACAGGAACATGAGTATCAAATTATAGTACACGTTTGAAAATAATGACTTGAAGATCTTATACTACCTCATTATGCTATGGTAGTGAATCACATGAGCTCATCAACAAACATTACATCTCCCCCCGACACTTCGATGAGGTACAAGGTGGAAGAGAAGAAGAATGAACCACATGCCTAACCTTCTTATTAGAGGATTGAAAACTTGAAGCAACCATGTGCATGTCAGTAATATTTAGGATCTGTTCATATTTGAATGTTGAATTAAGAATCGACATCACAGCATCCAGGACACTCATAAGCGCTCTGTCCCCATTTTCAGCAGCAAGCAGAGACTTCCAATACCATTACTAGTAATTGTTCTGATTGTATATCCATCTCGACTTTCCCTTGAGTGTTGAGCGTCGGCCAGATTCTCTGATAACTCCTCGCAGTGCCATTCTCTTCAGACTCGAATGAATTGTTTGTGTCTCCGCACTGTCAACTCGTTCCCAGAGGGCCCTGACATCTAGCTTGTCATACATCAGATCATCACCAAATGGTGCAGCTAGTCTATCTGCCTGCTCGTTTCCCAACATACTGACATGAATTGGAGAAAATATCCAAAGGACGCTAACTACTCAGGACCTCTGAAGCGCTGCTTGTCTATCTGCCTGAGGCATGCTTGTCTGTACCTTTTTTTACTTACAGTTACCACAAGTGTGTACAGCAGATTCTCAAGACAGCATTGACTGCCTCCACCTCCATTCTCAAACTAGACATTGTGCTATCTCATGCCAGGCTTTGTTGCACTAAGTTAAGTCAATTCGCTTTTGCTGTGAACCCCCATGCACTTTGTCTGCTTCTCAACACAGAGCCATTGGTATAGATAATCACATCTACTGGGCAAGAATTGTTGTGAATCATTTGTTGAACTTCTGATTCTGCAGCACCATCTGGCCAGTCCCTGCACTCACAGCCTAAAGTGATTAGTACCCTACATAAGTTTGATTCTTGCTCTAGCAATTTTACCCACTCCTCTCCTCACCTAAATTTAACAAGCCTGCACACATGTCTATTGTGTCTTCAGCTTGCGCCATCCAAGTCCTTCCTCTTTTCAGTCTGTTACCCTTAGATCTACCCAGGGCTTTATGCAGGAGGTACTTCTTGTCTGCAGCTACTATGAGATATGACTTTGCTTGCAGAACTTTGGGCCTGCCTGCAATATATGTTAATAGTATAACTAACAATTCCTTCTGGAACCTGCAGAACAGAAAAAGGTAGAGGGAAGCCTTGAAGTATAGAGATAAGAATTAAACAGGAATAATGAATGTGAGGATGACAGGGTTGGTTGTAGAAGACAACAAAAAAAGAACACTTTGACGTGAGTTCATGAAGGATAAAAGATAAAACAGGGTTCATAGCAGACCTTGAAACTTGAAATTATCCTTGAATTGTGGCCTTGAAGACATTGTTTGGTTTGTGGGGTGCAGATGGTATGCTTTGGAGGAAGGGTAGTTGTATGAAATGGATCTATTGAAGCTACACACTGACTACCAGAATGGGATGGGAGAGAGTGCCTTGCATGCACACCATTGTTTCTGGACTATGATTAAATTGGGAGATGATAGGTCTGCAGGATGACCTCACTTAGATTTCCCAATTCTGTTTTTGGCATAGGTCATTCTATAATGTGTTTGGCCCTCAGCATTCTAAGCCCCCCTTCCCCCCTCCTTCAGTATCTTCTGTCTGTCTCCTTTTCCGTCTTTTATGCTCTCTACCACTACCCTGAGTGTGTGTTTCTCCCTCCCTCTCTCTCTCTCTCTCTCTCTCTCTCTCTCTCTCTCCTCCTCCCCCCCCCCACCCCCCTTCCCTTGAGGTAGCAGATTTGTAACACCATGGACTTCAGTTTGCTCCCCTCTGCCGCCAAGTCTAGACAAGGTGTAAAAACATTATATTTGAGTGTGTGTATTCATGTGTGTACACACGAATAAAGTACCAGTTATGCCTGGTACACCCTTGAACAAAGCAAAAATCCCTTGAAAAAAGTTTGGAATATTGGGTACGAACTCTTATAAGACCGATTCATATAATGGATATTTCTAATGTGATGATTCTAATCTATCTTCATATGGATACTTGCAAATATTTTTTGAGTTTGGTTCACTGTTTTGTGATTCTTTGTGTGTAATCAGTTGGATAAAACTTGAGAATTTCTTTGTGAAATACTTGTCCCATATAAGCCTTATTCCCCTATTCTATTTTTCTCTCAAAGTCCTGTTAATTTCTTTTGACTTTCTCATATTATTTTATAATGCCTGCTTTGTTTGTTTATATTGTTCAGCAAAAGTATACTGTTCAATCAGCCGCCCCCCCCCCCCCCCCCCTTTTTTCCACTTTTCCCAATCTCTCTCTCTTTGTTGTTGTTAAAATTATCTTCTTTTTTTCTGTCACTGAATCTTCCTGTCAATACCTTTTCTCAAAACCATTATCTTTATCTTACTTCCTTTTTTTTCTATTAGAACCAGGTGAAGGTAAACCGTCAACTGATTTGGTAAGTACACATTAGAAGTCTGATATGATATATGACTTATTTCATGCTTACATTTCATCTATATGTGCGTGGTTGTATTTTATGCAGAGATCAATGTTGCTGTCTATTTATTCCTATAGTATAAACTGGTATTATACACAAATACATCAGTCGTTGAGGGACACTTGAACCCATTGAAATAACATGATGAAGGAATTTGTAAGTATTGATCAATATTCAGTAAGCAGAGAAAAGAAGTAGAGATTGCAGGGACACATTAGACAACATAAAAATCAAAAGCATATATTTATGCCAGAATTCAAACATGTCGGCTCCAGATTATGTTAGTCCTTTACTGTACAAGTATCCTTAGTAAGTTCTTCATTGATGTTAAAAATTAGCATCATTCCTAATAATTGCAAGCCCTTTTTCAGTAAACTTAAAATGCCTTGTGATGCCATATGAAACAGGGCATATATGAAAAGCTTAACAATTTCATTAGACTCGAGAGTTAAATCTCAGTACTCCCAGATGTGCTACAGAGCCTGTGCACTGTGCTGAGCTTCTTCGGACTCAGACTTGAGTCAGAAGAAGAACGGAGCACTTATGGGTTACTACCTGTGTGCCATGATGTTGATCCATTGTTCAAACCTCAAACCTCAAACTCCCAGATGGTTTCCCAACCGACTAATACACAAACATGATGACTTCCAGTCTTTTAAAAGATGTTACATGGTCTGCAACCTGATAGTCATTTCTCAATATGATTTGTTCTTTACTATCTCTTTTACCAGTGGCTAGACGCTCGCCGCAGAAAAATGACCTTGGCTTCCAGGTCACCCCAGCCTTGGATGGGTACGGGGTGCAGTCCAGGGAAGTAAAGGCGGTCGGCGTTATGCTGACAACATTACCCATCTTGTGCCGATTGGTCTATTAAAAATAAATGTCTAGCCCTATTTGCCTTTTTTTTCACCTATATGCCCTATGTGCCTAAAGGCGTGGAAGAGGGTCCTTTACTTTTGAATTTTATCTCTTTACAGCTACCAGTGTTGAGTTAGATATAAGGTTCTGCTTCTTGCTCTTGGGTCGTCTCAACCATTGATACATGGTGCTGTTGTAGAGTTTCTCTGATGGTATCTTTCCATCTTGTTCTTAATCTACCTTGTGTTCTTCATCCTTCTCTTCTTTTGGTGTATGCCTTGTATGGTATGGTGTCACAAGGCATTCTCTCTAAATTGGCAAACCATTTGACTTGCTGCCTTTGTTTTTAATTTAGAATTGGTTCTGTGTTGACTTTTTCACTTATGATCTCATTTTATTTTATTTCTTCTGGTCTTCCTGCTCCCCTTCTCAGACATATCCATGGTTGCTAATTTTCTTTTCTGGTTTTTTTGTGTGAGTGACCATGTTTGGCACTGGTAGCATAGGATTGAATTGAATATGCTTTGTATAAGATATTTCTTTGTGCTGATTGGGAAATGGTCATGTGGTAACAGATTTTTTTTTTTTTAATTTTAAGTTGGGGTGGGGTACTTGGCCTGCTTTACTGCATTGAATGTTGATTTATATGTCCAATTTACTATCTTTGTTGCTTGTTGTTCCAAGATATTTAGACTTGCCTGTTTAATTGCCTTTGGTCACTACTGCTATATTTAGGTTCTGCTTCTGTCTTCCTGTTGACATTCTGTCTTAATTTGACATACTTGCTGTAAATTGTTGCTCAGGAGTATGTTTTTGTGTCAATATCTAATATTGTTTCATAAAATCCCTGTCTACAGGAAATAGTGACTCAGCTAGATCCCAGTCGCTGTGAAAGTTGTTATGGTGCAGAGACTCCAGACCAGAAGTATGACCTTTTTGTTTGTTCTTTAGCATGTCTGTGAATATAAAATATTGGATAGAGCTTGTTTTCTAGTGCATTGTTTAATTCACATAGTTTCCACTTTTCTAAGCATTTATCTCAATTATTTTCTATGTTAACATAGATCACTTGCTGATCAGTCTCAGATGACAGCGAAACCTGGCAAGATTTTGGCCCCATTGAACAGACATTTCTTTCTGCCACAAAATCCGACCAGTCAAGGATGCCTTCATTGGTGGGTCTTGGCATGACCTACATACTGTGCACTGGAGTCCTATTGTTCTCTTCGTATTTATTACTTTTGAGTGTCTCAGATACTTCCACGACCCATCTTGCTCTGTTAGAGCTGTATGTCTATAATGTTGCTCTGTGTGGTATCCTGTCTGTTGCCAATCTTGTTGCATGGCTAGACCATTTGATCTGTTCTTTACCAATAAAGTTGATTGTTACTTCTGTGTCAACTCTGCTCCTGATAGCATCTAGCATAATGCACAAACATTCCATTTCTGTTGTTACTATTTTTGTCTTCTAAAAGCATTGTGCATGTTTGACACTGATGGCAAAATGTTGGTAAGAAAATTGTGTTGAAGTGTGCTTACATTTCAGTACTGGTACCATTTGTCATTTTATGTGATTGACTTTGTTGCATCTTTGTTGTATTTTTTATTCTTCCATTTTATGGAAAAAATGCTCACTAGATATGTAAAGTTGTTTGCCTTCTTTAACTGATGTTGATTCTTTCTTTTCTGGTGAATGTTATCCTTTCTATGTTGTCCTTGTTGATCTTCATGTCATACTTGTTTGCACGCTGAGTGGAATCTGTTATGTTCTTGTAATTCTAGTTCCCGTTGGAAATATATGTATTTGCCAATTTAAATGCACCTGTAACGCTGCAAATGTGGGCAGAACTGATCGACGACTGGAGAAACGGGTTGCTGAACATATTCCACTATGGGTGGTAAAAGCAATGCAGAATACTAACACCTCAACAACAATGAATCAGGTGACTGGTCAACAAAATCCATCATCAGCAATTGCGTGCCCTATTCTAAATTCCAGGTACATCATTAACAGGGATGATGCATTTCGAATTATTCACAATTCGGCCAGCCGTAGTTTACTCCGATATGCGGAAGCTTCCATGATCAGCCGGTTGAAACCAGAACTCTGTAGGCAGAAAGAAAAGTCGTTTCCTTATGGTTACCTTGGTGAAACAGACAGTTTAGAATGCACTCGAATTTGTGTTTCAGTTTCTAGGATCAGCTATTTGCTTCATTTTAGAGCTTTAGCATGGGTATCCGAGCAAACCGCCACACAGGCAGTAATTGTCTCAGACTCAATGAATATGCTTCAGAAGATAGCAACAGGCAGTGTGCGCCCTGAATGGATAGAAAGCAGTCGGAAATCGCACTTAACCTCCGTAACCTGGATCTACACACCGGGTCATGCGGATGTAAAGGAAAATGAGCGAGCGGACCAACTGGCAAGCACTGCACTAATGATTGCGGGGAAAAGCATGGACAGAGCAGATATCGTTGTCGCTGCACAGACTGGGCTAGTGGATAATGACGAATCCCTGACACTAACACGATTGAGTGACATGGGAGTTTAGCATGGTGAAGCACATCTTTGCCGTCTTCGAGGCCGAGAAAGGAGACAATATAACCAGCTTCTCATGGAGACAATTAGTAGAAGTACTTTGGCGTGGCTGCTGCTTCTGAGGACTGAGCACGCATGGGTATGCCCAATGTGCAGTGACGTCGATTGTGATAACAAAACATAAAATAACATCTTGTAGGGAGTCGGCAGTCCGAAACCCAAGTTCAAGGTGTCTCCAAGAACTGCATGGCTGTTGGCCCTTCCCCGGCTAATAGTGAGGGTACTGCTGGGGTGACCATTTATTAACCCTCATATAATGCTTCAGGTCAAAATGGACGCTAGGCATGGCCACTTTATTTTTTTTTTTTAGCCGTGGCAAATGTGTTTTTTTTCTTCTGCCAGACAGTGGCCATTGCATTTTTGCTTCATTTGTAGGCTGGAAGGATATAGTTTTGTCACCCAGCTTCTGAGTTGAGTGCATGGCGTGACACTGTGAGTTACGTGTGTTTTTGGTTGGCACAGGAGCGGAGCAACTATGAGGTGACCTGTTTGCTATGAAGCTGAAACTAGGATAACCAGATTACCAGATCATGCTGCTGTATATTCTTCAAGATCATCTTGATTTTTCACTTTTCACCCATGAATGATATCTACATTTTTTCTCCTTTACTGATGTTTTAGCTTCCTTGTTCCACCAGGTATTATTAATTAATGGTCCAGTACTTCTCTTCTTTACCATCCCGCATGTTTTCTTGTTGCTTCTAAAATTGATCTTTTAAATATTTCCTTTTCTTTCTCTACTGATACGGTGTCTTTAGTTAACCAGCCTAGTATAAACTTTTTTTTTTTTTAATTTGAAGTATGTTTCTTGCGTGTTAGCATTCTTTAAGTTATTAATTTTGAATGTTTTTTTTGTGGTTGAATGTAGTCCTCTATTATTGCTTCCTCTGTTTATCCTCATGGTCAGCATGACCCTTTTATGGTCACTGTACATAGGTTTGGCATTGCTCTTGCGTCTTTACAGTTCTTCTTATATTTCTCTTGGTTAGTATGTACTCTGTTTGACTGTTACAGTTCAGGTCGTTCAACTTGGCTATGGAAGATTGGCGGTGTTGGAAATAAGTGTTATAAATTAATCCTGCTGATGCTTAAGGAGCTTGCAGCCACTTTCGTTTTTCTGACTGTTAATATCTCTATTTTTCCCTATGTAATCTTTGGCTCATTCCTGTGTCGCATTCTTGCATTACAATCGCACACAATGATGACATTTGCTTCTCATATCTCTTTATTGTATGATTAGTGTATCACAAAATTCTTTGCTTTTTTCATCACTTTTAGTGATGTTACACAGACATATATTTGAACACATACATTTGACATCAGTGCACTCGCAGTGTTTCCATCTGCAGCAGCTAATACTAATTGCTGCTCGGTCATATGTCCGACTTGTCTTTCCCGTCAATCATTATCTCCATAACTCATTGTTTACCTGCTGTCAAGGTGCCTTGACCTACATAAACTCAACTTAGTGATGCAGAGTCAGGTAATCTTATCAGTCTGCTTGTTTTCCCTTCATACAGTGATGCCCTGAAAATAAGATTGAAATATAAATGAATGAGAATATGCTAGCGGTCACAATGTACATTATTAAAAAATGTATTAGATTTGCCAGGCCTGTCCCTGATTAGAAAAAAAGTATAGTGAAATCTGCTGTCTCCATATGAACAGTTGTAGTCCATAGTGGCAGCTAAATGTAGTCTTCTCCTCCTTCTCTTCCACCTTGTACCTTATCGAAGTGTCAGGGAGGCTCAATGTAGTAATGGGTTGAAGTTTTGTGTAGTGTACCCATGATAGAATCGATCCACCTGATTCTTGATCTTTCTGTAACTTTCTAACAGGGGCTTCTTTGACTGTAAAGATTTTTGTGTTTACCCATGTGATTTAATTCTCATGTGTGCTCGGCGCGCTTTAAATATTTGTTGTTTCTCTAAACATTAAGTGCAGGGAATGATGCTTATATTTATAATTCTGTATGTCATATTCTGTCAGATCTGAAAAACACTGCAGCTTGTTTTGTTTCATATGTTGGAGTTTTGTTTTTGTTAGTTTCTTCTTCTTCTCAGCATTAACTGGCTGTAAACTCTGGTTGAAAGTTCTAGTTGTTCATTCACTTCTAGACTTTGGTCTTGTTGTCATTCTATTTATGATCATATTTGTGTCAAACTGAACGTTTCCTTGTTTTTATTCATTGCATGTTATCTAATGAATTTTCTTTACAATTTTTTTAAGGCAACACATTCCATTTACATCCTTGTAGATGCTGTAATACTTGTGATGAGGTCAGGGAAGCTTACAGGAAAAAAGGTTGGGCCTTTCAAGACCCCAACTCCATCTTGCAGTGTCAGCGAGAAGGATGGTCCAAAAAAATTGAAGCCCAGAAGAATGAAGGTTGTAAGCTGTTTGGATACCTGGAAGTGAACAAGGTTCGTGTCTTAAGCCCATTGTTGACATTTGAATAATAATCTGTTTTTTCTTTCACTTGGAATAGATTATCTATATCTACAGTGTTGTCTCTAGTATGAACTTCTCTTAGCGACCTGTAAAGTTTTGCTTCCACGGGTGTTTCTCTTGGCCAGAGGTTTTGCCTTGATAATTGTATTTGGGACAGTCTTGGGGACATGATCTGTAGCTACAGGTGCCAGTGTTGACATGGCTAATTCTCTAGTCTTAATTTTTATGTACTTGTAGCTGACAAGTGGATTGTGCCCTGTCCTAAGGCGTAAAATAATGATCTATCCAGAATATAGTAATCATCTTGTGTTGGTTTTGGAGACCTTTTGATTGATTTGATTATGGTGTTCTGTTGATAGGAGACTGGCACATTAGGTTGATCTTCATTTTGCACTTTTCTTAACTACTGTATCAGCTCTCTCATTTCTGGAAATTCCATAGAGGGATAGTATCCATTGCATTATTATGCATTGTTATCAAGTGATAATCATTGTTGAACTGAATCATATATCTTCGAATGTGTAGTAATTTGTCTTGAAATGCCTAGTTTTTCTGAAACCATGTGTCATCTATAACAGTGAATTGCTTGGAGCAGGGCTGTTCTACTGGCAGCTTGCAGGCCCAATCCAACCCGCAGATGCCTAGGAAGTTGCCCACAATCATTGCCAGTTGTATATTGATGATCTTTCTGCGCTGGAACTCTAGCTTATGCCGATCCCCTTTTCTTAAATATTCCTGCTGGGTAAAATGCAGAGACTGGCCANGGGTATTATTAATTAATGGTCCAGTGCTTCTCTTCTTTACCATCCCGCATGTTTTCTTGTTGCTTCTAAAATTGATCTTTTAAATATTTCCTTTTCTTTCTCTACTGATACGGTGTCTTTAGTTAACCAGCCTAGTATAAACTTTTTTTTTTTAATTTGAAGTATGTTTCTTGCGTGTTAGCATTCTTTAAGTTATTAATGTTGTATGTTTCTTTTGTGGTTGAATGTAGTCCTCTATTATTGCTTCCTCTGTTTATCCTCATGGTCAGCATGACCCTTTTATGGTCACTGTACATAGGTTTGGGATTGCTCTCGCGTCTTTTACAGTTCTTCTTATATTTCTCTTGGTTAGTATGTACTCTGTTTGACTGTTACAGTTCAGGTCGTTCAACTTGGCTATGGAAGATTGGCGGTGTTGGAAATAAGTGTTATAAATTAATCCTGCTGATGCTTAAGGAGCTTGCAGCCACTTTCGTTTTTCTGACTGTTAATATCTCTATTTTTTCCCATGTAATCTTTGGCTCATTCCTGTGTCGCATTCTTGCATTACAATTGCACACAATGATGACATTTGCTTCTCATATCTCTTTATTGAATGATTAGTGTATCACAAAATTCTTTGCTTTTTTCATCACTTTTAGTAATGTTACACAGACATATATTTGAAAACACATATATTTGACATCAGTGCACTCGCAGTGTTTCCATCTGCAGCAGCTAATACTAATTACTGCTCGGTCATATGTCCGACTTGTCTTTCCCGCCAATCATTATCTCCATAACTCATTGTTTACCTGCTGTCAAGGTGCCTTGACCTACATAAACTCAACTTAGTGATGCAGAGTCAGGTAATCTTATCAGTCTGCCTGTTTTCCCTTCATACAGTGATGCCCTGAAAATAAGATTGAAATATAAATGAATGAGAATATGCTAGTGGTCACAATGTACATTATTAAAAAATAAAATTCTGGAACAACGAATTAGATACCGATCCTGAGCCCATCACGGGTCGGATTTAGGAAAGGAAGAGGGTGTACTGACGCTATTTTTGCTTTAAGACAAGTTAGCGAAAAGATAATAGAACACAGACATCAAATGAACATCGCTTTCATAGATCAAGAAAAAGCTTTCGATAGAGTAAACAGAAATTTATTATGGAAAGTTCTTGAAAACTACGGTATAAATGGAACAATTTTAGATTGTGTTAGGGCTATTTATAGACAAAGTGAAAGCGCCATTAGAACAAGAGCTGGCATCACAGACTGGTTCCCAGTAACATCAGGAGTAAGACAAGGTTGTGTATTATCACCTTTACTTTTCATAATATTTATGGACAATATTAATAAAATAATATATACATATATATATACATAACACCAACAGATGTCGATAAACAGGAGGACTTCAATGAGCTGCTCTTTGCCGACGATCAATGCATATTTCACAGTGATAGTAAACAGCTGCAAGACCACATAAACCTACTACACGACAGTTGCCTCAAGCATCATATGAAGATCAATACTGAAAAGACAGAAGTCATGAGCATAAGTAGAGAGCAACAGACCATCGACATAAAGATTCTAGATCACAGCCTAAAACAAGTGCAAGAATTTAAATACTTGGGAAGTATCTTTACATCCAATGGTAAAATAGACAGAGAGATCGAAGCAAGAATCCAACAAGCCAACAATGTCGCATACCAGCTTGCCCCAATTTTAAAACACCCTGCTGTCCCAGCTGAGATAAAAAGACAAATTATAAATACAATCTTTATACCGACATTAGGTTATCAGTGTCAGACTTGGACATTAACAAAAGAACACGAGAGAAGACTAACCACCTGTGAAATGAGATGTTTGAGAATGGCTGCGAATAAAACCAGAAGAGAGTGAGTGAGAAACGATGTGATTACAAGAACTATTGGAACCATACCCATCGTTAAATTTATTGAGAAGCAAAGAATGAAATGGTTTGGTCACCTAATGAGAATGGAACCATCGATGCCAGCATCAAGAGCATACAACATGAAAATCGAAACACCAAGAGGCAGGGGAAGACCAAGAAGAAGATGGATTGAAGGAGTCACGGACAACTTGAGACTTCATAACATCACGGCATATGAAGCGACTGAACACGCCCTGGCTCGGTTGCCGATCATCTGATAGACTGCGACGCCTAGCGGCACAAGCAGATTTTGACAAAAGAAGAAGATTAGATTTGCCAGGCCTGTCCCTGATTAGAAAAAAAGTAGAGTGAAATCTGCTGTCTCCATATGAACAGTTGTAGTCCATAGTGGCAGCTAAATGTAGTCTTCTCCTTCTTCTCTTCCACCTTGTACCTCATCCAACCTTGTTGGATTGAAGTTTTGTGTAGTGTACCCATGATAGAATCGATCCACCTGATTCTTGATCTTTCTGTAACTTTCTAACAGGGGCTTCTTTGACTGTAAAGATTTTTGTGTTTACCCATGTGATTTAATTTTCATGTGTGCTCGGCGCGCTTTAAATATTTGTTGTTTTTCTAAACATTAAGTGCAGGGAATGATGCTTATATTTATAATTCTGTATGTCATATTCTGTCAGATCTGAAAAACACTGCAGCTTGTTTTGTTTCATATGTTGGAGGTTTGTTTTTGTTAGTTTCTTCTTCTTCTCAGCATTAACTGGCTGTAAACTCTGGTTGAAAGTTCTAGTTGTTCATCCACTTCTAGACTTTGGTCTTGTTGTCATTCTATTTATGATCATATTTGTGTCAAACTGAACGTTTCCTTGTTTTTATTCATTGCATATTATCTAATGTATTTTCTTTACAATTTTTTTAAGGCAACACATTCCATTTACATCCTTGTAGATGCTGTAATACTTGTGATGAGGTCAGGGAAGCTTACAGGAAAAAAGGTTGGGCCTTTCAAGACCCCAACTCCATCTTGCAGTGTCAGCGAGAAGGATGGTCCAAAAAAATCGAAGCCCAGAAGAATGAAGGTTGTAAGCTGTTTGGATACCTGGAAGTGAACAAGGTTCGTGTCTGAAGCCCATTGTTGGAATAGATTATCTATATCTACAGTGTTGTCTCTAGTATGAACTTCTCTTAGCGACCTGTAAAGTTTTGCTTCCACAGGTGTTTCTCTTGGCCAGAGGTTTTGCCTTGATAATTGTATTTGGGACAGTCTTGGGGACATGATCTATAGCTACAGGTGCCAGTGTTGACATGGCTAATTCCCTAGTCTTAATTTTTATGTACTTGTAGCTGACAAGTGGATTGTGCCCTGTCCTAAGGCGTAAAATAATGATCTATCCAGAATATAGTAATCATCTTGTGTTGGTTTTGGAGACCTTTTGATTGATTTGATTATGGTGTTCTGTTGATAGGAGACTGGCACATCAGGTTGATCTTCATTTTGCACTTTTCTTAACTACTGTATCAGCTCTCTCATTTCTGGAAATTCCATGGAGGGATAGTATCCATTGCATTATTATGCATTGTTATCAAGTGATGATCATTGTTGAACTGAATCATATATCTTCGAATGTGTAGTAATTTGTCTTGAAATGCCTAGTTTTTCTGAAACCATGTGTCATCTATAACAGTGAATTGCTTGAAGCAGGGCTGTTCTACTGGCAGCTTGCAGGCCCAATCCTACCCGCAGATGCCTAGGAAGTTGCCCACAATCATTGCCAGTTGTATATTGATGATCTTTCTACGCTGGAACTCTAGCTTATACCGATCCCCTTTTCCAACATTTTAGCCCCTCATTAAACTTACTTAAATATTCCTGCTGGGTAAAATGCAGAGACTGGCCAGCACGTGCCACGGATTCAGCAATTAATTCAAGATAATACTCACTCAGAGGATTTGATCATTTACACAGACGGTTCAGTGTCAAGAGGCAAAAGAAGTGCTTGGGGCTTCTTAGCCAAAGTTAATGGTCGACGTTTGGTGCAGGAGAGCCTAGCATATGATACCACAACATCCAGCTTTAGAGTGGAGGTGGTCACTGCAGCTTTCAGCTGGTTAGAAAATACGATACACACACACACACACACAGTGATTGTAACTGATTCAGAAAGCATGCTGAGGAATATCGGGACAGGCATGCTTCACTGCAAAGGACACAGGTGAGGAGTATTGTCTGGAATTTTTCACCGGGTCGCGCCGGTGTGTTGGGAAATGAACAGGTGGACAGACTTGATGGCTCTGCATAACTAGGTGGAATACTGATACATGATAAGGCAGACGTGGTTAGTGCCTTGTGGGAGAGTACTACAGTTCGGAGGAGCAGATGGATCACCGCAGTCAGGTGGGGGGGAGCGATGAGAGTTTCTGGCAGATGCTCGAAGCTCAGAGGATAGGCGAGGCTGACGTTTAATCAGAATACTACTGGCACCATTAGTATCGGAACTCTTCGTTGGCTGCTGAAGGTGGAGTTCTTATGAGAATGCCCTGAGTGCAGTGATGTCGGTTCTTGAATCAAATCAATAGTCCTGTCTTATATGTATGTCATTTATGTCTAACTTTAATGGTGATTAATCCAAATCCAGTACTAAATTATTACAAAATACGGATCTGAAAAAGTTAAATTTCTCCCTTACCCAAGAATTGTGGATCATATACCTACTCTTGTCATTTAACTCATTCTCTGCTATGGGCGTAATTTTTTGTTTGCACCGTACACTGCTAGGGACAGATTTCTATGTTTTTCATGCCCTCACCGCTGTGGAAGTAAAAACATGATTTCCAAGTTGCTTGCAAGCTGCTATGGCTGTAATTCTCCAGTACACATTGTTTAGGTGTATTTAAATTCGTTCCGCGTTATCCTGTTGCTTTGTTTACCATAGAAGCGTGGTCGGTGTACTGTGTATTTTTGCCCTGAGATATATTTCTAGTTTTGCATTAGTGTAAATTTTTAAAAACTAGCGAGAGGTTGGAAGAGTTTTTTTATGTCAACAACTTATAGATATCCCAAGGTGGTTTTCAGACCAGTTTTTCTCCAACTGCCTCAAACACCTAGGTGAAATATAAATTCCTCACATTGTTTACATTTTGCAACGGTATATAAATGGCAAGAAAACTGGTTAATTACAGTTGGTGAAGAATTAATGGAGTTTCTTTCTTGGGTAAAGATCACTTTGAAGTATGTGAGTTATGAGTTGGATTATCTTCACAGCACACCATTGGACATGTACTTCTGCAACACCATCTGACCCATTGATTGAATTTGAAATGGATATGGATATGGTCACATACTGACACGATGATTAAAAATTAATTTTTATTCTATACTAACCAACAGCTGGTGATCAAGAAAAAATTGTGAAGTAACAATGGTACTTGGAGATTTCAACGCGAAAATAGGAAGTGAAAAAGTGTACGGAATAACGGGTGGCTATGGCCTAGGAGAAAAGAATGTGAGAGGTGATAGATTAATAGCATGGGCTGAGTCACGCAGCATGATAATAAGTAACACCTGGTTTAAACACCATCCTCGAAGATTGTGGACTTGGAAAAGTCCTGGTGATAATGTCCACAATCATATTGATTATATTTTGATTAGAAAAACACCACAGAACATCAAGTTAAATTTAGGAATTCATAGAACGGATAAAGAAATTAAGGACCAGTACAATGTCACTGTACAAAACCGGTAAAATGCAATGGAAATTATACAGACTATTAATGAACAGTGGGATATGTTGCGTGAGTCAATTCAGCAGACATCTAAAGAGACAATCCCACCAACCCATAGAGTTGCAAAAAAGAAATGGATGTCAACCGAAATTCTGCAGTTGATGGATGAAAGAAGGAATAAAAAGAACTATAAAGAGGAATACTCGAATACAAAAAGAAATAGTGAACAAATGCAAAGTGGCTAAAGAAGCCTGGCTGAATCAAATGTGTACAGAGATTGGGGAAAACAACAGGAAAGACTCACATTCCATGTACCAAAAGATAAATATGTTAACAGGAAAGATGAAATGTAACAGCACTGGATGTTTAAAATCAAAAGATGGTGACTTATTAATGGGACATAGTAATATAATTAACAGATGGACAGAGTATATAGGGGAATTGTATGATGATAATAGACCAGATGTAGAACTGCAGACCAACAATGATGGTCCACCAATAATGACTGCAGAAGTTGAGGACGCAATACATCAAATGAAGAAAGGTAAAGCACCCGGGCCAGACAACATCTCACTGGAAGAAATCGAATCACTGGGAGATTTTGGAATTGAAATAATAACTAAACTTTTAAATGATATTTATAATAGTGGGTATATTCCAAATGACCTTTTAAAATCCATATTTATAGCTCTGCCTAAGAAACCAGGCACTATAAAATGTGAAAACCATCGCACAATAAGTCTTATGAGTCACATGACTAAGATTTTACTGAGAATAATTATGAGAAGAATAAGAAACAAAATTAAACCAGAAATCAACGATGAACAATGTGAATTTGTAGAAGGAAAAGGTACAAACAATGCCATATACATCCTAAGGACATTGTCAGAAAGAGCTATAGGAGTAAAGACTGATTTGTACATATGCTTCATAGACTATACAAAAGCATTTGAATGTGTGAAGCATGAAGAAGTAATCAGACTGTTCGAAAAATTAAACATTGTTGGGAAAGATCTACGAATAATAAAGAATATGGATTGGCAGCAAACAGCAGCTATAAGAATTCACAACTGTTTAGGTACATTTCAAAGCTTAAAGAGGGGCATACGACAAGGACTGTGTACTGTCACCTGATTTGTTTTCAATATACAGTGAATATATAATGAGAGCTTTAATTGGTATGCCTGGAATTGTGGTTGGTGGGCACAATATAAACAATTTACGTTATGCTGATGACACAGTTTTGATAGCAACAAGTCAGAAAGAACTACAGGAAATGATAGACATTGTGGTGTTAGAAAGTGGATGAATGGGCCTCAGTTTGAATAATGGGAAGACAGAAGTGATGGTGGTATCAAAGAAACGAATTATTCCTAAGTGTGTAATAAAAGTTGATGGTGTTATTTTAGAACAAGTACAGAAATTTAAGTATCTGGGCACGTGGATAACATCAGATGGAAGATGCATGAGATAAGAAATAGAATAGGACAGGCAAAAACTGCATTTTATAAAATGAAAAACATCTTGTGCAATATATCCTTGTCATTTAAAGTTATAAAAAGAATTCTTGCTTGCTACATACATCCAGTTTTAACATATGGCTCTGAATCCTGGACAATCGGTAGGCAGGCCAAACAATTTCTGGAGGCCTCGGAGATGTGGTTTTACAGAAGAATGTATAGAATAACTTGGACAGCCAAAAAGAGCAACCAAGAGGTTTTGAAAGAGGCGGAAGCCCGAAGACAACTTATCACAGACATCAGAAGGAGACAGTCATCATTTTTCGGCCATGTTATGAGAAGAGGGGAAAATAGAACATGTTGTGACCACTGGAAAGATATGTGGAAGGAGAGATAGAGGAAGACAACAAGAGAAGATGCTTGACAGTTTTGTTGCATGGCATGGAGGTGTGTCGGTACATGAACTGATACATGCTGCAGGAGATCGCAGATCATGGAGAGGCATGATCGCCCACCCAGTCGGCAAGGCACCTGATGATGATGATGAAAGAGACAATGCGTGCCTCTTTCTATCACATTTTACAGTACTTACACTACTTAGCTGTAGGTTCTGCATTGTTTCCACACAGTGGAAGTATTGAGGTGGTTCAATAATTGTACGTTGTTTGTTTGTGGCAAAACACGTTTTTCTATCCAGAAGCCATGAGTTGTTAACTCCTGCGTAGACTCGGCGTATTATGAGATATCGCAACTTTTAATGACCTTTTATTCCATTGTAAATACCGTAAATCTGGTGAGAAAATGTGGCTTTCCTGCCTACCCCCGGGATTGAACCCGGACCACAAGGAGTGCGTCACCCGGTCTCAGAGAAATCCGGTTTAGCCAATTCCGCTAGAGAGCCGGGCAATAATTTGTACATAGATTGTGCCCTGGCAAACACGCATTTCTTCCACTGGACAATGCTCGCCCACTCATGCGTAGACAAAACAGCGTAGGCATTGAGGCGTTTGAACTTTTACGACATTTTAGCGCATCGAGCATGTAATCCCAATTTGGTGCATTGTGACGTTTCATGTTTCCAAAGCTCAAGGAATATCTCACAGGAAACAGATATGCTTCTGACGAGGAGGTGGCGTTCCTGGTTTTACTAAAAAATCAACCAATTCTTTTTCTCGGCGGATTAAAAAACAACATAATTCATCCACAAATAGTAATTCTTTGATAAAACAGTTTGGCTTTTGAATTTCTTCCCCTTGGTATATTATAGTCCTTATTTGATTGCTTTACAAATGTTATCATTGTAAGTTATGAATAGTTGAGACAGAACACAGCCCTTTTGTGCTCCAGATTTTATGGTGAATGGTTCTGAGTGTCCTTCATTTATTCTAAAAGTACCTTCACTGTTGTTATGTAAGCTTTTACGTATGTTTATTAGATGGGTGTTCACACCATAATTTTTCACGATTCCCTAGTTTGTTTCTGTCAACCTAGATTGTACATAAGATTAGAGTAGATAATCTGTAAGTTGTGAATTTTGGATGTTGTATTAGAAGCAGCAAGATAAAACTGATGACAGTAGATCTGTGTGATTGTGGGTATTAGATGTTCTATTTAACTGGCATTTAGATGTATGGGACGACAATAAATAAGTTGTCAGCGTTGGATATTCTACTAGTGTAGGATACATAGGATTACGGTAGATAGATCATTTGTATTTTTTTTTTGGGGGGGGGGTTTAAAAATAGTTTCCTAACACTACAATTAGCTTCTGTGCTTTGATGTAATATTTAGTTGTTTTCTGTTATATTTTATTATATTCCAGGTGGCTGGAAACTTCCATATTGCTCCAGGCAAAAGTTTTCAGCAAAAACATGTTCACAGTAAGTGCTGCTATCTGTTTAGAGTGGATGTTTTAATAGCTGCAGCTTGTATCACTTTTTTTATTAGAATATATCTATTTGTTGTTAGCTGCAGTATTTGTCACCTACTTTATGAGAATATATATTTTTGTTAGGTGCAGTATTTGTCACCTACTTTATGAGAATATATGTTTTGTTGGTTGCAGCATTTACCATTTTTTTTGTGGCTTTTTTTGCTTGTTTATTGTTTGTTGGATATATTTAACCTTGCAAGATTATCTGCTGCTAGCTGCCAGTTTTAGTTTTCATTACTGCCTTTCTTGGATCTAGTTGTTACCAATCTTCCCGTAATTTGTCCAAGTAACCAGATCAGACTAAATGCAAATGAAGACTGGAAAATATATATATATATATAAATATATAAAATAAATATATATATATTTTTTTTTAAATGTCAAAACCCACTCTAAGAACTAAGTACCTACAAAGACTAAAAAATACTAGGCTCTTGAAAAATGAAAAAGGCACTTTTCTGCATACTCAGTGACCATGATATTTGTCTGGATGTCATCTCTCCAGTATCTTCTTGGTCTGCCTCATGATTTATGACCATTTAACTCCTTTGTTTACACAGTACACCTACACTACCTACATTTTTTAATGCAGAATATATCAGTGTACATGTGCTTTCAAATGTTTTATAGACGAATTAATGAGGTATCATGGAGAGATTCATTTAGTAATGACAATATTCTATGAGACCTTTATCTCATATTTTAGGATAAAATAGGCATCGGCACCTTAGAGTGTTGCTAGATGCTTAATCAGGGGAAGTACCCAACCATGTTGTGAGCCCATACTGAGAGTGAAACTAAATTACCCTGTATAACCAACAGGGGGGTTCCTCCACCGAAAGCCATGAAGAACAAGAAGCACCCAGTTTTAAATCAACAAGCACTGTTATTATGCAGTATAGCCAGATAAAAGATAACAAACACTGTTATTATGCAGTATAGCCAGATATAAGATATTTAGCAAAGATACCCAATAAAAATCCAGAAGCATCAACATCACTGAGGATAAACTGATAAAGAATTATAACCAAAAGCTTATTTAAGCTGGTTGAACACAATTAGCATATTTTTTTCAACAAAGTAAGCAAGCAACAAAATTTGAATCTTTCTTGGTCATTTGATTGGAGCATAGTTAAGAATTCTAGATAAAGACTGGTAAGATTTATGGTTGCAGAAGCAAGATGGTGGTAGAAAGCTGAAATACTAGACAGTCTTGTATCTTGACATGAAAAGAAAATGGGAGTTGATCATCCACAGTAGTCAGCAAGCACGTGTAAGTTCAGTGATACATTTGTAGATTATTACATATGCCTAGTTTTTATCTAACTTGTTTCTTTTGTCCACAGTCCATGATATGCAAACCTTCAGCGGACAAAAGGTAAGTTGTATTCTCTTACACTGACCGTTATTCTTTAAATCCATAATGTGTCCTTTAATTTTCTTTTCTGGCTGTGTTTTCTGTCTGTGGTAGTTAGTGGTAGCTATCTTATTGGTGCTCATAGAGGGCCTTGAAGCTGAGAAAAACCCAAGAATAGCAGCATTTATCTTAAAGGCCATGAGTAACCAGGGACATTTAAAAAAATGTAAAGGTGTCCTTGAATTGGGCCCACTTCAACCAGAAAATCAACAGTGAAATGAAAAGTTTATTGGAAGCATGTGATTTTACCTACTTTCATGTCCAGCAATTTAAGGTAAACTGTCTTTTACAGCACACAGAGTTGTTTCTGGGAACACATAATATGGTTTGCACTAGGGGAAGGTGGGGAATGAACAAATGATGTCACTTAGATTTTCCAAGTCTATTTTTGGCACAGTTCCTTTTTTTTTAACATGTTCACGCTTTCTCGCCTCTCTCTTGTGTTCAGTGATCGATACTGTCTGCCTCTCTCCGTCTCTCTAAATCTCTGTATCACTTGTCCCTCTGTCTATCTTCTGTCTGTCTGTCTGTCTATTTATCTGTCAATCTGTCTGTCTTCTACCTATCTGTCTGTCTATGCAAGTATCTTTAACACCCCCCGCCCCCATTTCTTCTGTTTTTGCTTTTCTCATTCTTCTGCCTTCAACCCCTGTACAGAGCCTCTTTGACTTACGACTGAGTTCTGTACTGACAAACTGTTCGTAAGTCAGAATTCTATTTTTTTTTTTATATTTTTATTTGTGCCGGTTATAAAAATTGTACATAAAACAGAAAAATTCAGTCTGTTTGCTTAGAATTATTGTACTTAGGCATCTGCGTACTCTGGGCCTCAGTTCCAGGAACTTTTACCCTACCAGTTTAGTTGCCTTTCTTTATTTACCTTTTTGTTGTGGTCGTAAGTACAGATGGTCGTAAATCTTACAGGTTGGAAGTCAGGTAGAACAGGTAATTCCCGTTACCTCACTAGTGAAATACAGTACCTGTCACATACCGCTCCTGTCACGTGCCTGATTTAAGGATTTCTCCTTAAGAACCAACAGCACTCTGAAATAATAATGTTGAATCGTTGGCTCGTATTGGTCTAAGGGATACCCCATGGCCAATATACGCTCAACTTATTTCAGGAGTAGGGCAACTCAAGCTTTGGCACTACAAAATACATAATATTCCTAGGCACACTTGGCTGGACACCCCCACTACTATAAAAAGGTAGCCCCCAGGTTATGATAGTATACTATCATAGCCATGTTAACTCAGATTACACTTATTACTCACACAAACATAAAAGTAGACAGAATGGTGAAACAGGGACACCCAAGTCAGCCATGAAAATTTCTACATGTAATAAGTACATTATATATACATCAATGAATAGATCATCAAGAATGTTCAGTGAATGGAGTTCAGGAATCAATGACACAACCCAGATGTTGAAGCAGCCAGATGTAGTTCTTGAATTTCACATGAGTTCATCATTGGAATCACAAGGAGCTGTGGGAAGAGAGCATGATTGTAATTAAGAGATCACTTATCCCAGTTCGTAGGTCACTGCTCCCCTCAGTCCATGGTGATTTTACTGTGGATGACTAAATAGGTAGCTATGCCTCGATTGGATCTGGTACAAGCTGACTGTCTCACAGGTGAGAACACAGGAATTGCATAAGATTCGTCTGCCTGATTTCTAAGGAGGTATCATCCTGTCAGGAAAGAACTCAGAATTAGTAATAACCTTATTCACACATCAGCTCACCCCACACTTTGCTACCCTTCTCCATTCCTCAGAGTGTAACTCTCAAGAACAGGAGACAATGTCTCCTTTCATTTATCTGTCTGTAAATTAGTGCAACAGATAGAAGACAAGGTATATAGTGGAGATAGACACTACCACACATAGATCATCCTCTCTCCACCCTCACATCTGCACTCGCAGACATACAATGTAAGCAGTTAGTACCTCTATAAATTTTCACGTCTCCACAGGCTGTCCGCTACACACCCACTGAATCTGTATCAAACATACTTTTGACTCAGAGTGTCTAACTCTGACGTCACAGCAGCTAACTTAAAAGATGACCTAGTTTCCATATCTTTGCTAGGAGGCACAAAACTTCGTTTGTCTGGTCAGAGAATAATTACTTGTAGGGTTTAATATCTTTACAAATGATGTGGGTTATGTAGAGCACAAACTATTTAGTCTGCACAGGGAAAGGTTTAATGTTCGGAGCCTGATCTCTGGACATCAAGAATGGTCGAACTATGTGCGATCACACAGCTGAATCTTCCCTCTCTGCAACAGTGGCCAACTTTAAAAATACAAATATTATGGTACTCGTAAACTATAATCAACTTACCCAAGCTTAGGAATTCTTCAAAGATAGAACTGGTTCTAGAATGCGCCAGTTTTCTACATAGACTGTATACATGTCTTGACACTTAGGAATCAGGCCAAAGAATGCCGCTCAAACCTAAACTTGGCATCACTAGGAAAGAAGTTCCCTGTATTCATGCCTAAGGAGTAAACCGGCTTCCAGGAATTTCTGAATTAAACACCAGAAATCTTCAACCTACAGTTGCAAGTTTGAAAATGAAGATTTATCAAAGCAACTAGAGGGGCTAGAAATGAATATTTTACCAGATAGAGGTATATATCCATATAAGGGACTATATACCCCTCCGGACGGGTTTAAGTTTGAAATGTGACTGCCGGCTTAGGGAAGTCAGATTCACGACTCATCCATCCTGTAGAGTTGGCTGTTCACTCCACGACAGTACCCTTGGGAAGACCCGGGCGATATTACATGGTTTTGAGGTCTATGCACTGAGGCAGGATAGCTGTTATTCAGTTCACAAGCCAGGGACAAATCCCTTTCTCCATGAGTACAGATATCAAAATATCATATTTGACTCTATTGTATGCATCCTCAAGATCAAAAGCTTCCGCAACCATATTGTCTGTCCCGGAACCCCTTATAAACATCAAAAGCAAAAGTAGCTGCATTTGACTAGGTATCTTTCTATAGCCGGTAACGACCCAAACCTTTTGGCAGGAGCTCTTCCCTTTCCAAAAAGATTTGTAGTTTAACAGCAATAATCTTCTCTAACACCTTGCCAAAAGTATTTTGTTGAGTGATAATCCTGAAACCGCTGAGTCTGGAATAATCTTTCCTGGTATTGGAAGTGGGATTGGGTAGCTATGTGCCCAATCGTGGGGTACTAAAACTGTTCTCATGCTCTGGTTGAAGTGAAAGCCCATTTCCCTCAAGTCTTCATCACTAACGCTATTCATGTGGGCATGCCTGACTCCGTCTGGCCATGGCGCGGTGTCTTCTTTTGCTTTTTGCAATATATATTTTATATATCCTCCACTCTTATGATATCTTCAAAATGATTATAATTTATAATATTATACAGATTATATCTAACTAAATTTCTAAGCTAACTATCATTACGATCAGTTTGGGCTTTAAATCTCTTCAAAAATGTGTCCCCTTTGTCTGTTGTCATTGGCATATCATTATCAGTGTATATATTGCCTGTTGTAATAGTTTGATCCTTCCATTACATCTGTCCATGAAGTTTCCAAAACCTATCCAGTGATTTATCCCCTCCGAATTTTGCTCACAAAATATTCCTATTTAGCCTTTTTAGCTTCTGCTGCACATCGTTTGAACTCTACCTTTTCCTTTCTAACTGTCTAGCTTCTCTACATCCTCTTGTAACCTGTTAGGTGCCTTTCACACCTTCTGTAATTGCTTAACTGCTGCTCGCTTTGCTCTCCATGCCTCTTCTACTTCTTGGGTTCAGCATGGAGGCTGCACAAAAGCTGAGATGGTGGTTCTGCTGGTACTTTCTTTTGGAGGTGTCCAAGAAGGGTGCTGTCCCTCTCATACTTAAAAGTCTTGAGTGTTTTCACAGCCCAGATCTTGCTAGCTTTATAAATCATGACTGCACATGGAATATGGTCACTCTCATGATCGCCTTGAATACTCAATTTTTTGTCCAGCACTACCGATGGAGTTACACTTGTTTATGTAATACTTCAGGCCAATGTTAAATAACAAATTTCAGTGGGTGTAGTCAAGACACCTGCTGAAAGGAACCCTTCTGTTTGGTCTGTGACTGTTGTTTCATTTCGGGTAATCCTGACTTATGTTGGCACATCTATGAACATCAAAACCTATGGATTTACCTGATTTGACCATTTGCCATTTACAACATATTGGTGTTTTAGTGCTAGGTTGATACTGTAGTGGCTGTTTGAAGAGATTTATGATCCATGGGTTCAGATTGGTGTTAAAAAAAATGTAAATTCACAAATACTGGGGCTTGAATCTGTGACCACTTGTGGTAGGTGTCTGTGCTATATACTACTACACCACTTTGGCTCCTTATTGTTTTTTAATTGTTTATATATATATATATATATATATATATATATATATATATATATATATATATATATATATATATATATATATATATATATATATATATATATATATAATATATATATATATATATATATATATATATATATATATATATAAAGTCATGGACACTGAATAAAGAAAAATGTGGATGCCACAAAGAAGTGGGTTTTCTATAGAATGTTAGTTCCATGGACAGGCAAGAAATACTGGAAGAGGCTTGCTCATTAAGACATCTGATTACCTACATCAGAACAAGACAGTTTTCAAATTGTGGTCACAGTGGATGGCAAGAGAATCTAGAGAAGGTTGTGGCAGCTACAAGACTGGACTTGTTGTTAGAGACTAAGCATCTACAAAGACTAGGCTTATTAATGACAGTACAAGAGTGGGTGAACATGCTGGACTAATTGTGTGGAATAGATCAGGGAATCACCGTGGTGCATGACTTGGCACTTGCTTGTCAGCCCTATATTTGACCTTGTTCCCAGTGTGAGCCATCCTAAATGCTTATCGAGAAATTTTCTAGAAATTAGAGGTGGTCAGTATAAATTGTGATGTTAAAAAACATGGCTATAGTACTGTGTCCTTTACCTAACTTACTTTTTTGAAAGAAATGATCAGCCATTAAGCATATAAAAATATAAAGGTTGGATGTTTCATAGAAGAATTTGTTTGCTTCCACAAGATGATGATGATGTACTTATATGCATATTTAATCAACATTGCTGACATCTTCATTGACTTTCAGTTTAACATCACCCACAAAATCAACCACCTGTCATTTGGTCATGATTATCCTGGCATTATCAACCCCCTGGATAATGTGTATGAGCGGGTGGATTCCAGTAAGTACATTGAATGTTTGTAGAGAATCTGTTTGTTACAGTGTTCATGTGCTGGCATATGTTGCTCAAGTCAGACAAGGAAAATATACAGTAATGGTCATGAGACAGAAGATAGCATAGATTATAAAGCTACTATTTTCTTCCACACATCTTCCCTAAAATGTTACTTATTGTCTCTGGGATAAAATCAGATTAATCTGTCATCATCCTTACAGTCAGACATCATTCTACAAGTGTCCAAGTGTCCTTAATCTAACTTTTGGAATGAAGTTTGGTTGTGTAATTGTTAGTTGGTGTATGTCATCATCAACGTCATGCACTTTACCAACCGGCATGGGTGATCATGCTTTTCCACAACTTGCATCCCCAGCAGCATATATCACTTTGTGTGCTGACATACTTCTATGACATGACAGAAGGCTCTCAAGTATCTTCTTTCACTGTCTTCCTCTGTCTCTTTCTTTATATAAATCTTGCCATTTATTGTCTTCTCTTAATGTATACATACCTACACATAAAATTGTCAGTCACACTATTTTTATGATCATTTTCATCATTGATGCTCCAGTGCCTGTTGCAAAAAAAAATGTTGGTTAGTTATTCAGACCCCTTCAGAAGAGTTTGTTTCAAATTAAGTTAGCTTTCATAAGCAAATCATGGAATCTGGTTTATGCCATTATTAGAAAAAGATGTAACATATTTTATGTTGGTGAAACTAGCTAGAAGTTAGGAGAATTTTTTATGTCAACAACTTATGGATATCCCAAGGAGGTTTCCAGACCAGTCTCTCTCCAAATGCCTCAAACACATAGATGAAACATAAATTTCTCTCATAGTATTACATTTTGCAATGGTGACCACACCGTTTTGTCTAAATAATTAATTCTTCTGGGAGCCACAGTAACACAATGGCTAGACTCTCTGTCTATCAACCCAAAGTTCTTGAGTCTTGTTATCTGCTTCGGGCTGAGATTTGTTAATTCACTTAGATATGATGCTGGAACCAGAGTTTTATTGACTGACTGCTGGCACTTGATGGGTAATGTGTTCATTGTTGTGCCAGCCACTTTTACTTATCAGGACATTTTCTGGTACTGCTTTTAGGTTGTCATTTTGAGAGCCCTTGAAATTTATCTAAAATATAAATTATTCACCTTCTCACCCAGAAGACTAAGCCTAGTCACTTCCGGTTGTGACACAGTCCGCTAAGTTCCAAATGTAATTAGCAAACAGTAAGCATGAGTTACAAGACAGAGACAGTTGAGTGACATGAAGAAACTTCATCAGAGCATTCATGGAACCTGAACTGGCCTTCGGAAAAAAACAAAATCTCTGCAGGGTGTATTTAAATTCCATTGGCCTTGTGTCTGCCTGTGCAGTGTTTAATAGGCTATGTATGTAGTTACTAAAAATATGGTTTAGGAGTTTTTCCTTATGACCCCAGTAGATCTTTTCTTTTAAGACGTTGAGTAAAATTTTCCCACAAGTCTTGGTGATCGAGTTCAGGGGGTAATGGCAGGAACCACCTGTTACATATTTTTTAAAGGCCCCAGGGAATGTATTCCATTGAATGCTTCACTTTTTTCATGATTATTGATTACTCCATTATATATCTTTGTATATTTTTAGAAAAAAAGCATTTGAATTATATATATCTATATATATATAAATCAATGTTTGTGTGTTTGTTTGCCCCTTATAGACTCGGAAACTACTGAACTGATTTAGCTGAAATTTTCAGGATATGTTTGTTTTGATACCGGATGTTGAACCATCATGGTTTGAAATTCAGCCTGTCACTGTTAGAGATAGGTGAACACAATTTAAGCCATAATATTCTAAACTAATATTTATAATTTTAGTGATTTCTAATTATAGCCTCGTTAGTAATTGCGCATGCGCCGTAGTCAGAACGCAAGGCTTCCACCATTCGCTGGCGAGTTACGTGCAGCCAACGCCTTCTCTAAAACATAGAGTAGGTCGTGGTACAGCAAACAAGACTATCTCTATATTTGCCACAATAATCATATTAAACACGATTTCTATTTTCTGTTTTTTTTTTTTTTTTTTTCAAACAACCTTCGATGGGGGGGGGGGGGGGGCATCAAGGACTATCTCAACGTCGGCGCAGACACTGACTGCGACATTAACTTCATTAACCGTGTTAGACACGTGCGATTTCTATTGTTGTACCGTTTCATTAATATATCTGGAGTATCTGTCTACGAGAAAACAATTGTCTGCGGTTTTGAGTAGTGTTATAATCGGGACACAGTAGTAGGGACACACATCTCTAATAGTTAAGTTCTCTTTTCGTTGATCCGATTAAGTGGCTGCTTGTTTGAATGGTTAGAACACTGGGTTCCTGTGCGGGAGACCAGGGTTAGAATCCGCAGTAGTAAATTTTTTTTTACCCTGGACTAAAATAATATCCTCATCTGCTCTGTCATGGTGACAGCACTAGCCATGTTGCCTTAATACTTTAAAAAAAAAAAAAAAACACAAGTAAATGGGTAAACCATTTGATAATTAAATGTGACCATTTCGCATACTTATGATTGCATTTTTAAACTTTCCGATTGCATGGTTACGCTGAAATTTCATAGATTTCCATTTATTTTCATTTAGATTTAGTTATTTAATCTGCATTGGAATTTTAAGCTGTGCTGTTTACCACGGCGTTCATTTCCTAATTATGGTGTTTTTTTCTGCTGCTCTGTTGTGGTGACAGCACAAGCCATGTTGCCTTAATACTTTAAAAAAAAAAAAAAAGACAAGTAAATGGGTAAACCATTTGATAATTAAATTTGACCATTTCGCATACTTATGATTGCATTTTTAAACTTTCCGATTGCATGGTTACGCTGAAATTTCATAGATTTCCATTTATTTTCATTAGATTTAGTTATTTCATCTGCGTTGGAATTTTTAAGCTGTGCTGTTGTACCATGGCGTTTCATTTCCTAATTATGGTTGTTTTTTTTTTCCCTGTGTTCATTTGCTTTTCAAGTGTTTTTTTTTTTCTCCCAACTACTTCAGTGATGGAAAGAGTTGTCGGTGAATTTTAGGGGGGGGGGGGGGGGGGGGCAAAACTATTAACTGAGAGAGCTTTAAGTCACAGTAACTGCTTTACCCACTTAAAGTAGCAGCAGCAGTAATAATTGTTGTGGGGCTGTTACACCATAGTGCTCTCATGTGAAGACCTCCGGTAAGGTTATGGCGTTCTTTTGTCGGCAAGTGAAATTATACATCCTAACCTGACCAGTCTGTGGCGACAGCACTAGCCATGCAGAACCAAATCTTCTGGCTCACGACTCTCTGTCTACTCCGATGGTAACACAGATAGCAGTGACATTATTTTAGCTACTGTGGTGGTGGTCGTGGTAGTAGTTGTACTGGTACTTGAAGGATGATGTGGTAAATATTACACTAGCCCCATTCACTACCTATTACAATTCTTTGCTCCCCATTTTAGTCCAGATGGACAGGGATGTCAATGTTCAGTTTCAGCCTAACAACAAAACTATCGCCAGGTACGACTCTCGTTGATTTTCAAATCCTTCGAAGAGGGACGAGAGCAGGGGTAGTCTGTGGAAGAGGGAAGGGTCAGGGGGTAATGACTTAAAGAGGGAAGGGTTAAGAGAAACTTAAAGAGCTTTACACGTGATTTTCAAGTTCTCTTTACCTAATTTGTTATATTTTACTAACGCTACCTCCGCTTTCTATTTTTTACGACTTACTTTGGTTATTCACAAGTACAGTTGTAGCTTTACTTCCGTCCCCTATAAAAATACAAACAGGCTTTAGCATGTGATAACCAAATAAACCATTTTTGTTACTGTGCTAATAACACCATTTAAACGACCACTAATATAAAGACACAATTATAAGGTGGCGTGTCTAAAGTTGGAAAACCAGACTATCTCTATATCTCTGCAGAGAATGATTGCGACATTAACTATATTAGACACGTGCAATTTCAATTGTCTTTCTTTTTCAAAAACCTTTGATGAGGGAGAGAGTAGTAGGTGGATTTAGTTGTGGTGGTGGGGGGATCAAAGACTATCTCTATATCTGAGCAGACAATGATTGTATTGGAAACGTGCGATTTCTATTTTCTTCTTTCATTTTCCATTTTAGCCAAACTATGCCACAGCAACGCGTGGCCGAGTACAGCTAGCTAGTATATATAAATATATATATCTATATATATATATATATATATATATATATATATATATATATATTATATATATATATATATATATATATATATATTGAAAGGATTTTTCCGGGAATTCCCATGTGTTCTTTGCCCATTTGTTGTGGGCGTTTGTGGTGCAAAAGGGTTGAATTAACTATTTAAAAATCTGCATTGATGCACATTTGAACTCAACAACTTTATGCTAACAAGCACACATGTAACCACTGCATCCTGTAGCTCACACTTAAAAGCTGGATAAAGGTAATCTAAAGTAATAATGGTTTTGGAGTTCACTGAGATGCTTGACATTGCTGGTCTCTGAAATTTTATAACTTATAACTGCAAAGTATTTTATTAAATATTGAGACTATGCTTGCCTTCTTAACATAGTGTTTAGAAGTGCTTGTGTCTGAATGTTGCCGACAACAGCCATGTTGTTTATGTTGCAGTTTAAAATAATAAAGAGTTAACACTTGTTCTTCACTGTAACTCTATGTCAGTCTGTCTTCTGCTTTTCTTTGGTATACATTGATGGGGGTTGTAATTATCCCCTGGCCCTCTCTCCCTTCTCTCTCTGTGTGCATGCATGCATGTGCATTTGTGTGTGTGTCTTTCAACTCTTCTCAGAATATAATTTGTATTTGCCTAAAAATTATTGCATCTTTAAAACTTAATCATCTTATTTTGTGCCGTGAATTGACTAGATATAGCTTTAAGGGGGTCACCGTTTTCTCTTTTCCCCTCATGTTTTAATATATGTACGCAGATGATACAGAAACTCCAAAAGCTCATACAT